CAGGTAGCTTAGGGCTCTGAGAGACCTTGCCCCCCATCCCAGCAGCTTGACTGTGAACAGGGGCCCAAGGTCACTTTCCACCCCACAGCTCGGCCCCTTTCTCCCTGCCTACCTTCCACTGAGGCCCCATCCTTCCCCTGCCTTCTTCTTCCCCTGCTCTGTAGCCCTCGCCCTGAAAAATGTCTTGGATTAACCCCTCCTAGCCCAGGACATCTGAAGAGGTGGTAGATAGAGTGCAGTAGTTGAAAGCACAAGCTTTAGGGCCAAAAAGGCCCACATCACAGCTCCGCCCCTTGGCTCGGTGACCTTGGGCTCTTCATTTAATGTTTCTGAGCCTTATCTCTTCATCTGGCAAATGGGGCTGTAAAGGTCTGGCTCCAGGATTCCATGGCGAGAATCCCGTGAGATCCTGGGTGTAAAGAGCCTAGCACAGAGGAGGCCTGGCCAATGCCGAGGCTCTGGCACCACATCTGTTTCTTAGCTTTCTGCGGCACTTGGAGGGCTGAGGGCGAGAGCTTGGGGGGCAGGGGAGGAAGCCGTGGCAGCAGCTTCAGAAGACTCTGGCTCATGTAGAAGAGACAAAGCTGGAGCAACAGTGGGAGAGACGCGGGTGAGCCCCGAGAGGCACTTCCCTATTCTGAGAGCCCGGAGGAAGCCATTTCAAAGGGCCCGTCCAGCGTGTTCCGAGGCCCATGTCCTCATGCTAGAGGCAGCTCCAAGGCAGCAGCGCCACTGTCTGGGGAGCAGTGGGGGAGGTGAAGAGTTCACTGGGCCCGTGGGCTGTGCTGGCCTCGGGCCTCCCACCCAGCCCCCTTGCCCTGGCCCGGCCCACTGTGGCCGCATAAAAGGTGACGGATGGTTAATGGGGGAGATAACGGGATTCATAAGGGAAATTTATCGGTCACTCTGGTGGTATAAATATGTTTATAGCAGACCAAGGGGAAATGAAGAAACCCCAATAAATCATTGTGAAGCCACCAGCCACTAATAGGCGAGCGGTCGCGGGAACCCCAGCGTTGGTGCTTGCAGACACCCCCTCTGGCTGCCCACTAATGGCACCTGCCCACTAATGGCACGGGAGGGCTGCAGACTTGTCCGGCCAGACGCCCGGCCCACGCCATGAGGGGAGCAGGACGCCGGGGGCTGCCTCTGCTGGACCTGAGCTGTCCTGCCCACCGGGCAGCCGTTCCTTCAGTAGATCTGGGCGCATTCAGACTGGGAGGGCTGAGCGAACAAGGCAGGGGACACACTGGGCCTAGTCTGGGAGGTCCCGCGTGGTGTAGGAATTAAGAAAGCTCCAGAGAGAGACCTGGCTTTGACCCTTGAGGCTATCACTTCCCAATTGCAGCCTCTCTTCATGTTTCCCTTTCTGCAAAGTGACTTCCCATCATGGGAAAGTGGTTGGGAGGAAGATAGGGAGAATCCACGACGCATGGCACTTGGCACCTCGTAAGCCTCAGTCAAGAGTAGCTGCTCTGATTCTTTACTTTCCCTCTTGGGAAAGTGCAATGCACCTGTGAGAACGTTCTTAGAAAGTGGATAGCATGGTCCCCGTGTTAGAGATTAAGGAACTTGAGGCTCAGAAGTTAAGGGACTTGCCCCAGGTCACACAGCTAGAGGAGAAAGGCTTTGTTTGATACCCCAGCCCAGACTCTTCCCTCTGGCCCAGTTTAGACCCTGCTCCTTTTTCAGAGTTCCTGGGGGGTCCCCTGTCCCCACCCCTTCCAGGAGAGGCCTACGATCCCAGGGACCTGGAAGTACAAGCCTGGAAGTACAAGCCGTGGGGGCTCCGGCAGCAACTTACTGGTGCTGGTGAGCTAGGCCTCAGCTCCCCCCACCCCACCCCACCACCAGCCTCCGTGCCCCTGCTACTCCCCTGCATAGCAAGGGCTGGACTCAGTTGCTGTGACCTCCCCCAGCACCAGGGTGGCTGGGAGCTTTCCACGTGATCTGTACAGAATGCTTTACACTCAGCCTTGCCCTCCAAACTCTGGGCCTTGGTCACAGTCTAAGTCCAAGCCAAGGTCCCCTCTAGGTAGCTCCTTGTAGCTCCCTCCAGAGGGCCTAGGTGGGCAAGGCCCTGCCCTTGCCACACTCAGGGTCTGGTGGAGAAGGGCCTGGATCATGGACTAGAACGGGGTGTGCCTGGGCTGAGGCAGGCACAGGGGTCAAAGAGTGAGTAGGAGCCCAGTGGGGCAGACAGGACTTCCAGAGCGCACTGAGGCTGGTTTCCCCACCCCTCTCTCCATGCTGGGGCTCAGCAGACACCCCCAAGTCAGACTCTATCCTCACTTTGTGCCTGGTCCTCAGCTCTCCTCCCTCTTCTCCTGAGCACGCTGGCCGGCTCGCCTCCACACTGGACAATGCCACAGCCTGCTCCCCAGTTTCCTGCCAGAACTATGCTCCCCACTTTCCCCCAGTGCTCCAGCCAGCAGTCTCCACCAGCCCTGGAGGGCTAGGGTGCCCACACAGACGGGGGGGGGGGCGCGGGAGGGGAGGGGAAACAGGGCCTTTGAGGTCCTGTCGCTCCCTCCCACCCACCCCCACGCCCCCACCTCTGACTCTCTGTAGAAGAGGGACCCAAGCCGCCTTTGCCTCTTCTGAGTCTCTGCGTGTTTCTCCAGACCTCTGTCTCTCCTTCCCGTCCCAGTTTCTCTCTCTCCCGTCTCTGCGGGTCTCTGGCCCTCTGCTTTTCCCAGTCTCTCTCCCCGTGGCTCTCTCCCTCCCGGTCTCGGGCTCCATCTCTCCCCGTCTCTGCCTCCCGAGGCCGGGCGGGGGAAATCGCTCCGTAAATAGGCGGATGGCCCCGGGCGCTCCGGGCGCAGACACTCGTTTTTAGAGCCGGTAATTGACTCCTTTCAGTTGATAATTCATGGCTTGCATATGCGCTTTAATGCGGGCGCCGGGGGAGGCGCGGCGGGCGGGGCGGCCCGGGCGCGGGGCGGGCGGCGAAGCGGCCGGGGAGGGAGCCGGACTCTGTTGGCCAGGGTAGGGGAGAAGAGGGGGCGCCTCCGCGGGGGTCTGTCGGCCCCGGCCACCCGAGACCGCGCCGGGTGACAGAATTGGTGTGCGATGGGTAAGGTGGAGAGGCCCGGCCTGTCCCTGGGCCGGTGGGACGACGCGGGGCTGGCTGGCAGAGCCGGACCAAATGAAGAGGGGAGCGGGGAGACACGCGGACCCCTCCCCCACCCCGGGCCCCGTGCAGCCACCGGGGAAACAGAGGCCCAGAAAGAGGATAGCTCTTACCTGCATCTCACAGCACAGAAGCAAGACCAGAACTCAAGACAGCCCCTTCCCAAAGCGTCCTAGCCAGGGGCCTCAGTGCCAGCCTTGTGGACACCCCCTCCCACTGGAATTCCCCTGTTTCGGAATTAAATCCCCCCCCTGTGCCGCCTGGGTGATTCAGTCCTTAAGCGTCTGCCTTTGGCTCAGGTCATGATCCCAGGGTCCTGGGATGGAGGCTTGCTCCCTGCTCGTCCGCAAGCCTGCTTCTCCCTCTCCCACTCCCCCTGCTTGTGTCCCTCTCTCGCTGTGTCTCTCTCTGTCAGATAAATAAAATCTTTAAAAATAAAATAAAATAAATTCCCTCCCTGGAGTGACCCACCACCCTATTGCTTTCGGGCTCCTCCAGGAACTGGCTTTTCCTGGTGAACGCTGGACACTCCGCAATGACTCCCAGGCTGGGGAGGGGACCTCGAGTGGCTGTCACCCTCTTTGGATCGGTCTCATCCTGTGGCTGTGGCAGAGATAATCGTTTCCATCTCACAGAAAAAATAGGCTCAAAGAAGCTGGGAGACTTCCCCTCTGCCCCGGAGGAGGCTGAGCCGGAAGCTGGACACCCGCACGCCCAGATCAAGCCTTCTGCAGTGGAAGTAACAGGAGTGGGAAGGGGAGAAGGAGGCGATGCCCTGTCCCTGGACATCCCATCCACACCCACCCACCCATGGCCTCAGCCACTATGGGAAAGGGCGCCGAGAAAGCCAATGACCTGCCCACAGTCACGCAGACCAGGGAGTGACTTCAGCTGAAGATGGTGCTGGCAGGTAGTGAGAGGTTACAGGCCAGCACAGGAACTGGAGCTGGAGCTGCGGAGGAAGGCAGTTGTCGACCCAAATTTCAGCTCCAGAGAAACAAGAGAAAGCCCAGCCTGGAGGGAAATCTGGCCCGAGGCTAGGCTTCCCATTTACTGGGCCCCTTGGGCTGGTATCTGCCACTCTTTCCCCAGGCTCATTTCAGACAAAAATAGAATTCTGCCCCCTATGTCTTATAATCTACTAAAGTTTAAACCGCCAGCTTATTCCTATGTTCGCCAATCTCGGTCTCCCCGCCTCTAGTTTTCCCATCTGTGTTTAGACTGGGAAAGACCTGGAGACAGTGCACCTGAAAGCTGAAGGCTAGGGCCAGTCTGGGCTGTGTAAAGCTCAATGCTGCCCCCTGGTGCCCAAACTGTTTGCAGCCGGTGGGAGTGAGAGGAGAGGCAGAAGGCACTTGAGGTAGAAAACCTCTCTGCCCCCCGGCAACCATTTTCTCCTGGCCTGTTAGACCTCCCTCTTATGGGGGGAGAGAGGACAGAGCCAGAGCCCTACTAGCCCTGTTTGAGGAGAAACCATGAGGCTCCTTGTCCAGCAGAGATCTCAGGCTCTGTGGTAGAGCCTGGAAGAGGTAGAGGCCCCAGTGAGGTCAGCAATAGCCCTGTCTCACCTGCCCCTGGACATCCCAGATGCTTCCTTCTGTGGTAGGTGGAGTAAGGGCTTCCCTTCTGGCGTGATTCCTTCGTAGTTAAACTCTCAGGTCTTTTTCTGCCTGAAATTCCATCATTTGGGTTCAGAGGAGGTACTCAACAAATGTAGGATGGCTGGCTGGCTATATAGGTGGATGGGCAGGATGGAGGAAATCTATTCCTCTGCATTGAGGTTTTATCTCCAGAAAGTCTCTGCGATCGAGTACAGGGAGGAATGAGTCCATTAGTTTGCCGAGCTGGCTGGAAGTAGGACTCCAAAGAGCCCTTCACCCTGTGCCCCATCTTGGGCCAATCTGAGGAGTCCGTGTATTGAGTACCCATGCAGAAAGACAACAAAGAAAAGGGAATCTGGTGGGCTTCTGGGAGGAGAAAACATGAGGCAGATATAGTATTCACGAGAAGAGGCATCAGGAGCAGACTTGGATGGGGATGTAGGAAGGCCTCCAGGAGGAGTGGCCTAATCACTCAGGTCCCCTGTGGTTCTTGGCCAAGGTCTCCACCTCCTTCATGAACCGGAGACACAGCTCCTCTTCCCATGGCAGAGCAACGCCCTGCACAGCCACAGGAAGTCCCACGGATCCTTGTACCGCCTGCCCAGAGAGAGGGTGGGTGGGCTTAGAGCCTGCTCTCCGCTCACAGGCCCCGTGCCCAGCCTCCCTCACCACCCATCTGCATTAGTCCAAACATCTCATCCGCAATCTACATTAAGGTAGAGATGTCCTGGATCTCAGAGTCCCAGGCTTCCTCAGCTCTCAGGGAAACCTGGAAAAACTATTCTGACTTTTATCTGTCTTTAGTTCTCCAGGGTTAAGATGCAAAACTTGCTCCCTGTGCAGACAGCTGACTACAATCATGAAATAAAAAAAACAAGTATCCACCCAATGTTCTCAGCAAAGGAAAGAAGAATGTGCAAATCCCTGATCCAGAGCCCGGTCATACTTCTGCACTGAAAGAGGTACCTTGACCCCAAATGCAGACTCAGGAACATGGGGACTGAACCCAAGTGTCTGCCATGAAATCCAAACATACTTAGAGGCATTCAAACATGTTTCCATTGTTTTATGATGATAAGATACAAGCCTTTATCTGTCTTTGTCACGAGTCAAGTCATTTGGCTTCAAGTCCGGGCTCCTTCCACTTCACCTGCCTGTGTGGTGTGGTGGCATGGGTCAAATCTCTTAACCTATGTGTGCCCCCATTGCCAACTTCGTAAACCTCACAGGACAGTTAGGGGATTTAATGATTTAATATATATACAGCACTTTTAAACAGTTCCTGGAACAGAGTAAGAGCTCAAGACACATTAGATAGTGTCATTATTATTATTTTCTCAGAATTCAGGTCAGCAGCTCCACTGGGCAACTCTAGCACTAAAATCAATTTCCAGAAAAGTAAGTTACTTAATGTCTGACTCAGACACATACATACTTTTCAGAGTCAGTCTCTCTCTCCCTCCCTTTCTCTCTGTCACCCAAGACAGGGTTGTTATTTTAGATCATGCATTAAATATGCACATGGAAATATTTCCTTTTGTGAAGCCAACTCTGAATTAGTAATAGTAGCATTTATTGGAACACTGCCTATATACAAAGCCTTATACTGATTGCTTCACTGTTTTTCCATTGAACCTTTAGGACAACCCTGCAGGGTAGATATTTTAATTCTCATTTTCCTGGCAAAGACGTTGAGGCTCAGAGAGGAGGAGTGCAGTCCAATTCCCTAGTAAGCTCCTAACCAGCAGCATTTGCTCCACTCTTCCTGCCTCTGGGGTCAACTTTCCCTACAGAAGTGTCAAGAAGCCCATGGTTTTGTAAAGTATCCTCCCTGGACAAGGACAGAGGCTGACTTGGAGCTCAGAGGGTGTGTCCTCAGAGATGGGGTGAAACTGCAGCAGAAGTGATAAAGGATAAACAGTAGGAATGACTGGCCCCACCCCACTCCCACTCACTCGGGCTGGGATGGAGGCAAGACTCAGTCCTGGCTTGTGCCCATGGGGGAGAGGTATGGAGAGGGAAACTGACCTCCCAGAAAGATTTGTCAGAACTGTCTCCGTAGTATCCCTTGTAGAAGGCCAGTTCCTCCTCGTCCTGCAGCGTCACCGCGTTGACCGGCACCACGCCAGCGGGGAAGTTCAGGACATTGTACAGGCTCCAGTAGGAGGAGACAACCGTAGGAAGATCCCGGCCAGCCCAGGTCAGGGGACGAAAGAGGCAGGTGGGGAAGAGTGTTGGGTGAGCGCCCCCTCGGGGTCCTTCTCGGAACTGCAGCCCTCTGGGCTTGCGACGTTGCCCGTCTGGGACCAGGAATCCACCTGACCACCGTCTCCTGCTCGCCCCACAGTGGAGGGAAGGAGAGGATGGATGCTATCGAAGCCTTCCTCAGTGCCAGGCACTGTGCTGGCCTCTCTCTGTTACTGATTCCTTGAGTCCTCTCCATCCCTGTGAGGCGGACTTGACTCTTCCCCGTGTACAATGAGGAAAAGGAGGTGGTTGACAAGTTTGCTGGTTTTTCACAGACCACACGGCTGAGGATGGCTGAAGCGTGCAGGGAGGGCAACCCTGAGTTAAAAAGGCAGCTCCCCTGCAGCAGCCACCTGTTTGCAGGGAATGAGTGACAAAGAAGGGGCGGTGATGTCAGCAGAGGACATTGATGCAGGGCCAGGTGTGGGATGTGCATTTGGGCAGCCGCTGTGGGGGTACCCAGGGAAGAGGAGTCCAGGCTTGAGGTGGGTTTTCATTCTGCACTGATAACACCTCTGAGACCTGCTCCTGTGCTGGGCAGGGGCCCCAGCATTGGCCCAGAAACTGCCTTGTGCCGAGGCTTCATTTCAGGGGGGCTAGGCCAAAGCCACCTTTTAAAGTGGGGCAGCAGGAAGTCCATTAAGGGTGAATGCATATGCTAAGTGGAAGAAGCCAGACCCCAAAGCCTCCTTCCTTCTGATTCCATTTACATGAAATCCCAGAAAAAGCAAAACTATAGTGACAAAAAGCAGCTCAGAGGTTGCAGTTTGCAAGGATAGGGAGAACTGCAAAGGGCCATCAGGGAAATTTGGTGGGTGATAAAAATAGTCTATATTTTTATTATGGTGGTAGTTACACAATTGTATGCATTTGTTAAAATTTATCAAATTACACTCTGAAAGTTGGTGGGTTTCACTGCATGTGAATTATATTTCAGTAAAGTTCATTTTTTTCCTTTTTTAAATAAGCTCCATGCCCAACAGGGGGGCTTGAACTCATGACCCTAAGATCCAGCGTCCCATGCTCTACTGACTGAGCCAGTCAGGCGGCCCTCAATAAAATTCATTTTAAAAGTGAATGGAAATTGGGAGTGTCCGCTCACAGGTACAGGGTTTATTTTCAAGATAATGGAAATGTTCTGGAATTAGATAGCGGTAGTAGTTGCACAGCATTCTAAATACATTCAAAACCACGGAATTGTACGCTTTAAAATGGTGAATTTATGTTATCTGAATTTTACCTCAATTTAAGAAATTTTTTTTCAATAGTGAATGGTAACAGAGGTCAAGGCCACAGAAGCTGTGGCAGGACTCTGAAGTCCTGGGCTCTGGGTCTCAACCCCATCAGGACCCAGGTTCGTCTCACCTAATGCCATGCTAGAATGGTCTGTAGAGAAGGCAGGGGTTAGCGGTAGTGTCAGCAGAACATCCAGGTCCAAGGACCTCCACTTGGCTATGAACTCTTGCTGATACTCCTGCAGGAACAGGGAGGGGTGGGAGGGGTAAGACCAGCAGAAGTCACTGTTTGCAAGACAAGGTCAGGTGCTGCCAAGCCCAGTGGCATTCAACATCAGGAAGAATTCCCAGGCTGTGAGATGCACCCTAAGATATCTGGAGCATGGGAGGAGGGGTCAGGGCCTTCCCAGGGGCTGAGGTGAAAGGATGGGAAGAGGAGTCTCCAGCTGCAATTATTTGGGAACAACGTATCATCCTGGCCCCAAAGAGATGGACTAAATTAACCTCCCATGTCCCCAGGCCTCCCCATCCAGGTGTAGCCCACCCCCAATCTGGCCAGTCCTGTCACCACCCAGGTCTCTGCTGCCCCTGCTCCAGCAGTCCCTTGAGGTCTCTTCAGGCACACATCACCTTCACTGCTGTGTGATGTTCCCACAGTTTTTTGGGAGTCCTGGGGGAATAAATAAGACACAGAAGTCCAAAGGTCAGCATGGGAGGACTCCCTTTTATACAAATTGGGACATTACAACCAAGAGCTAGAGCCTAGTCTCCATGCAAGCTGCAAATCAGCTGATGGGCTGGGAATGACACTGTGTCTTGTTCACTGACCAAAACACCTTGCCTGTCCAGTGCTCCCAAGAGTCCACACCCTCTGGTCAATGCCCCCCCCGCACCAGCCACAGGGACTCACAGGCTCCCCCCAAAACCACAGGTTCTTCCCCTAACCTAAGGCCCCCGGTCAGCCCTCAGGCTACTCCAGCCCCAATTCCAACCTTAACCCCAACCCAAACCCAAACCCAATCTCAACTCAGGCCCAACCTTTACCCCAGCCTAAGCTAATTCTAGCCTGAGCTCAGAGCTTAACTCCAAATCAAACCCCAGCCCCAAAGTAGCCCCAATCTCAACCCCACTCAAAAGCCTAAATTTAACCAGTGTCAGATATAACCCTAAAAACCTAATTAGATCCCAAAGTCTAAACAGCCCTTGCCCCCAGTGGATGCCAACTCTAGCCACATGGCCCTTACTTAATTCCCCCACCCCATAGAAGATGCCTGTGAGCTTCACCTGAGGAGACTAGCACTCACCCCATTCCACGAATCTCTTTCAACTTCTGGCTAGCTCAGGGCTCCTAGAGATGAGGAGAGAAGGAGAGACCCATTCAGAAACCACAGGGCAACACCAGTCTGCCCAGAATTAGGGTCCAGAAAAAGCAACTCTGCAGAAGCTTCTACTCCTCCGCAAGCCTTTAGCCCCCTCTAGGCTCCCACCCCCTCTCTAAAACCCCTTCCTCTTTCTGAGATGCACCCCTCTCTCTAAAAGCACCGCTTTCTTTTGGTCCCCATCAGCCTTTTCAGTTCCTCTTCTCTGAGCCCCCACTACTCTCTGGGCCTCATTCTGAGTCCTTCTCTTCTGAGGGCTTCTCCCCTCCTGAATGCCTCCCCCACCTTCGGCCCACACTCACTATGTACTTCAGGATATAGGCCAAGAAACACTTGAGAGGGTCTGGCAGGCGGAGCATGTTGATCACTGTCTTTATGCAAGGGTCCACAATGTCCCCCTCACTGAGGAACCACAGATACGTATCCGGTCAGTCACAGCATTTCAGCCATCGACTGGCTCTCATCCCCACCCAACTCCCACTCCAGAGGGAAGCCATGGAAGGAGGTGTGACCCAAAGAAACACTTCTTTTCCCACCAGCACCACCCCTGGAACACACACTTCCTGAAGACGGGGACCGGGTTGCTGACTTGCTGTTTAACAAGAGGCAACCCACCAGCCCAGGCCCACACAGTCCCTTCCTAGGGCTCAGGTCACCACCAGCCCTGTCCCCAGCCCCATGCCCTACATCTGAGTCCTGACAAACGTACAGCTTCTCCAGAAGGGTGGCCCCTCCATCAGCAAACAGACCTCCCATGAGCAGGTGTTCGACAGCACACTCTATACGGGGGATGGAGAAGGGGATGACCTGGGAGACAGATGCTGAGTCAGGGCCTGGAGCGCTTCCCACCCCGCCCGGGATTCTCTGCATCCCTCAGGATTTAAAGAGAGGATAGCACATCACCACCGTCTCCATCCACCTGAGCCCCTCCGCTGCCATGACACTCCCTCACCCCCCACGGAGACGCCATGGCATTCAAGCAACCCTCATTTCCTGCCTGCTCCACTGTGATCCTGCCCCAGGCCATGTGTTTCACATATGTGAGCTCATTTAACCTTCACAGCCGCCCCGTGTGGTAGAAAACTGAGGCTCAGGGGGGTTATGAGGCTGGTCCAAGATTACATATGTCACCAACCAGCAATTCTCAAAGGGGAGGCAGGACCAGGACAAGCCAATGGGTGTGGGAGGCAGGGGTTGGGGGTGGGGGAGGAAGGTGATTTTGAGGACAGGGATCTCCTCACAGCCATTTGATAGACGCAACAGAAACCCAGGCTATAAGAATTATGGGAGTGAGTCCCGGAGTCCCCATCCCTGAAGGGGGAAACTGTAAAATCTTGATGCCTTCCTCACAGGATGGGCCCACCCTGCCCCCACCTGCAGTCCATCAGTTTTCTCCAGGAAACTTAGGGGAAACACAGTGATGTTAGCAGCTCAGACTCAGATATAACTTCCTTCCTCTCCAAGAATGGCTCAGCCCAGCATCCTCACCAGTATGGCTTCCCTCCCAATCCAGGCTAAGCAAGCCTACCTGATGTCCTCCTGCAGCCTGGAGCGGCCTGGAGGTGAGCCTCATGGCCCTGGCCATGCTAGGAGTTGGCTGGGCGAAGCCATCTGATTCACAGTAGCCAATTCGAAGGGGCTGGTTACTGGAGTATACCTGTGGGCAAGAAGAGCTGGGTGGGTCTCAGAAGACACTGAGGCCTCTTCAAGAGCCAAACTGGGACCTTGGGCCACAGCTGTCTTCAACCCAGGGGAATCTACAGAAACTCCCTAAGACCCCCTTGGAGCCTCTCTATGTACTTTCCAGGCTCTAGGTCCTCTGGAGAAACCCCTGGAAGGGCAAATGGATGGCGACATGATTGAGTGGATACGGTAGATAGGCAGATAGATGGTAGATTCATGAATGAGTGGGTGGGCATATGTATGAGATGGTGAATGGATGGGTGGGCAGAGGATCGAATGGATAGATGGGTGGGTGGAAGAATGGGTGGTTGGAATTGAGGGGGGGCAGGTAAGTAAGTAGGTGAATAGACACAAAGACCCTTAAGCTAAAAAACAGCCAGAAGAGGATGGAGATGGAGAAATTAGTAGAGGCAAATAATGGGTGACAGAAAATGATCACAGGTTGATTGTATTAGGATGTGTGTAGAGATCAGATGAGTAGACATCGACTGAATGGTAGACAGAGACTTTCCCTATGGAGAGGGTTCTAGAGCGGATAGGGCTGGGTTCAAAGCCCAACTCTGCCAGTTACTAGCTATGTGATCATAGGCAAGTCACTTCATTTCCCCTCAGTTTCCTTGCCTGTAAATGAGAAGCACAATGCTCATTCTATAGAGTGAGTATTAGGATGAACTACAAAGAGCCTGCACATAGTAGGTACCAATAAATGTTGAATAAACTATTGAATAAATGAAGCCTGCCAAAGCTGGCAGGGCCTGGAGCAATCTTCTGGTCCAACCTCTTTATTATACCACTGGGGAGACTGGGACCTAAAAAGAGATGTGACTTGGCCGAGGTTACCTAGAGGACTGGAAGCCCAGCTTAACCAGATAGTGGCTAGATGAGTGGATGGATGGGGAGACTCTCTAAACCATACTTGCTGAATGTCATGTCTGTGTGTGTGTTGGGACTATGACAATGGAGTCCCTCTCTGGGGGCAGTATTAGCTATGGGTCCAAGGAGCTGAGAGGCCAAAGCAGCTGTTGTCCAGCAGAGATGGGAAGTGAATATGACTGAACATGTGGGCTTCTTGGTCACTGTACCCTGGGCTGGGAAAAGCGGTCTTCATAGAAGATGGTCAGATGGTAGACATGTCAATGAGGAAAGAAAGGAGGGAAGAGGTGGGAGTCCTCCAGGCCTGCTCCCCAACCAGCTCACCTCCTCCCTGAAGGGCATGAAAGGCACAGTGGGGTCCAATCGGTGCATGTCTTCACTTAGCAGGGCTCGCATACACAGCACCAGGCTCTCCACATCCCGGGCTATGGGGCCAGCCACTGTAGTCACTGAACAGAAAGGAGGCAGATTTCTCTCATCCTTTCTGCTCTGGGGACCCCCACGGCCTGGCCTCAGAGGGTGGGGCCCAAGACCATGATCAGGGTCAAAGGGTCCTGGGGCCAACCTGGGTCAGGGGTTGGGGACAGGCAGAGTTGGCACACCAGCCAAAGCATCTCCGGTGCCTGACAGGAGAATCTTAGCTGGGGCAGAACAGCAAGAGACAAGTAGGAGAGACTAAAGCTAGATAGTAGGAAGCATTTCTCACTGGACTTAGGGGGAGGCCAGGTGGGAGCCATGCTATCCCTTCAGATTGTTTTATCACCAATGGGGCTAATCTGAGATAGGGGCTGAGTGAAATGTCCTTGGGAGGAAGGCGGACAGGTTATCTTTGAATGGGTGTAGCCACGGGCACAGTCAGCTTACCTGATTTCTTTTTTTTTTCCCCCAAAGATTTTATTTATTTATTCATGAGAGACAGAGGGAGAGAGAGAGAGAGAGAGAAGCAGAGGGAGAAGCAGGCTCCCAAGGAGCAGGGAGCCCGATGCGGGACTCAATCCCAGGACCCTGGGATCATGACCTGA